CTAACTCTGTTTCCCTTCTCATTTGATAAAGATCTCCCTACTTGCTATAATCTCTCTTTTATTTTTCTCTTTATTTATATTTTGGGGTTTTCAATGTAAGAGAAACCATGTGATATTTTAGCTTGTGTGTCTGATTATTTTAGTGTTATGGTCTCAAGGTCATCCATTTACCTATGGATGCCTCAAGTTTATCCTTCTTTAGGGTAGAGTAGTACACCATTGTATGTAAATACCACATTTTCTTTACCCATTCACCTGTTGATAGCTAAATCTTGGAAACAGTCTATATACCTATTATAAATTGTGTTGTTATAAACATGGGCATGCATATATCACTGTAATATGATGTCTTTAACTCTTTGGGGAAGATACCTAGAAGAGGAATAGCTCGGTCAAATGGAAATTGTAGTTTTAGTTTTTTGAGGAATCTCCATTCTGATTTCTATAGTGGTTGTACTAGTTTACATTCCCACCAACAATGTAGTGGAGTTCCTTTTTCCCCCAACAGCCTCACTAGTATTTATTAATACTTGATTTCTTGGAGTCGGGGATTTAGCTCAGTGGTTCTGCCACCTGCCTTGCAAGCCCAAGGACCCGAGTTTGATCCCTGATACCAAAAAATCCCCCCAAAAACCCCCCCAAAAATACTTGATTTCTTGATGATAGCCCTTTTTTTTGGAATAAAGTAGAATCAGCATTGTTTTAATGTACATTTCTCTAATGGTCATTCTCTAATGAACATTTTTCATGTATTTATTGACCATTTGTATTTCCTCTTCTGAGAAGTGTCTATTTCAGTTCCAGCTTTTGACTGGATCTTTTTGGGAGGTTTTAATTTTTTTTTATGAAAAATAAAAACAATTTCATAACAAAATAATAAGATTAACATAGTTAATACACAATGTGTGTATTGTTATCTTCAAAGTAGTTACTCAGAGTATAAGACATAAACCAAAAATATTCTTACAAAAAAAGTAACAAAACAGATAATAACACAAGAGGAATACAGCAGGTGAGACATTCACAGGCCAGTGCATCAATTGAAAGTCAGAGAGCAATGTATGAGAAGGCCCGGGTGGGTCCTTGGGAATTTGAAAAAAATCGCACATTTCCAATTAGGTACCCAAATCTGAGTGCAGAGACAACTGTGGCCTAGGGACTATGAAGGTGAACAGCATTTAGGAGACTGGGGAAAGGAGACAAAATGACCAGGAAATAATTTCTTGCTCATTCCTCCTCCATATTCCAGGAGTGTTGTGCACACGGGACATCCTAGCCATGGCCCACACCCACTGGCATGCACCCACAGGGCAGATAAAAACATTCCCTGCCAGGAGCTGAAGATACAGAGCCCTGGAACTTCTCCAAGTTTGTGGGTTAGAGAATGACTGAAAAAGGACTGTGGGTGGTGAGACTGAGAATGGTGCCTAGGTCAGAGGGCATCCAGGGGATGCATTCAGCAGAAGGCTTTGAAGGGAAAACACAGAGGTGACTGCAGGACTTGTCCTGGAAAGAAAGGGGTAGAGAACAAGAGGGCTCTGGCAGAAGTCAACAGAGAAATAGGTTCTGGGCTAATTGCACCACACTCTCCTGTCCCCAAATTAACTGACATGGTTGGATCATGGGACATTCTCACCATAGATCTCCCACACCAGCAGGTTATAGGGTAACAAGCTGTGTTAGAGCCACGTGGGCCTCCAGAGAAGAAATGGAGCCTGGAGATTTAAGAACAAAATTGAAGAACAGACCAGAAGATAGAAAGATCTCCCATGTGCATGGATTGGCAGAATTAATATAATCAAAATAGCCATATTACTAAAAGTGATCTATAGATTCAGTGCAGTCCCCTTCAATATACCAATGACATTCTTCACAGAACTAGAAGAAAACAATCCTAAAATTTATATAGAAACACAAAAGACATAGAATAGGTAAAGTGATCCTAAGGAGAAACAGCAAGGCTGGAGGTGTTAAAATACCTGCTTTCAAATTACTCTATGAAGCCATAATAACAAAAACAGCATGGTACTAGTATAAAATAGACTCTTAAGGCATCATCAAGTGGGTCACAAGGTCATACTGGCAACTCTTTCTCTTCTGCATATGGGTTTTCATGGGATGTAGATGATTTTAGTGACAGAAGAGAACCAAATGAGAGGACCTTGAAATAATGTAGAGAAAAGGGTGGTGGAGTGTTTTCTTTTTCTTTCTTTTTCTTTGACTTTTATAGACCTTGATCAAAGAATTTTTGGTTTTTGGCTAGGCATAAGGATTCCATAATCAATTTTTATGCTGCTAGAGATCTTATTAAATCATTGAAAGTTTTTAAGATTCTGCAGAGCTGACTTGTCTAACATCTAAGACGGTCAACTGAAAGTTCGAGGGTGTGTGTGTGTGTGTGGTGTTTTAGGGGGAGGCATGGTAAATATAGTAAATATAATGTATCTTCTCTTGGTATCTTTGTTACATACTAATGTGCATTGTCTTATGGGTTGTTGTAGGATAAACAGATCTATTTTAAGGGTAATCTGATGCCCTTTTTTTCCGTCTGCCTTTGCTAAAAGTTCTTGCTCCTTTCTACTGATCATTGAATTTACCTCTTATGCCTTTCCTTTCTAATTTTCTATCTTTCAGCAGGTTGTGGGCTAGGAAATATGAATAAAACTGTTTATGTTAAACAAGTAAATACTCAAGCTCTTTATCAGAGCAAAGTAGGTGAACTAAAGATCAGTCTCTTTTGTTTTTTAAGAATCTTTTCTTGTATTACTTGTGAAAGTAGGGCCAGGGATTTAGCTCAGTGATGCTGCCGCCTGCCTTGACAGCACAAGGTCCTGAGTTCAATCCCTGGTACAAAAAAAAAAAAAGAAAGAAAGAAATAACTCTTGAAGAAAATTCAGAAAAGACAATAAGGTGTGAAGAAGAAAATATAATAATCCATAATACCATAAAACAGAATTAACATGTATTAACCGTTTGGTATATTTCCTTTAAGCTATATAAATTTTACTTATTTAAAAATCTTTACAAAATTGGGATTTTAATGTAGTTTTTATATCCTTATGGTTTACAGATAGTAAGCATTTTAGAGATTAATTCTGATGCATATTAATGTCTGAGTATTTTATCATGTAGATGTTCATTCATTCATTCATTGTATTCACTCAACAGTTCCTTTATTTTAAAAGTTAATTTTATTGGTTTATTTTAGGTATACATAATGATAACATTTATCAGAAGGAATTTTTACCTGTATGTGATATATCTTGAAGTTCCCTTTTTTTTTTTTTTTTTTGGAACTGGGGATCGAACTCGGGTCCTTGCACTTGCGCAGCAGGTGGCGAAACCACTGAGCTAAATCCTCAGCCCAGAAGTTCCCTTATTTTTAAACTTTAGATTTCTTACAGTTTTTTCAGTTTTTACAAAAGCAGAACATTCTTATTGATAAATTTTTAACACCTCGATTTTTAAAAAACATAGATCTGTAGAAGTACAGTGTAGCAGCTCACAGTTTAGAATATGTCTAAGGGTTTTACAGTAGACTCCCACATTGCTTCCTAGAAAGAATATTGTGTTTTGCATTTTTCTAAATACGCTTTGGGTCCCTTGATTCTAAAAAACTTACCCATATAACTTTTATTTTATAAGATCTTTATAATTTTATAGACATAAAATGCCATTGAATTTTTAATATTTCTCAGGTTACCAGTGGTGTTTTTTCATATGTTTATTGGGCATTTGTATTTTTGTGGGAATCATTCTTATTCTTGGATTTTTTTTTGGGTACTGGGAATGGAACTTGTTCTTAGATTATTTTTATATAGAGGGCTTAATACTTTATAAAAATTAATTTATAAGAATTTTATATGCTAACAATTTAAAGCCTTTTGTTTTTTTGTAAATGTTTTTCTCATTGTTTACGTTTTAATTTTGTTAATTGGATTTTTTAAAATACGAAAGTTTTACATTTTTATATAGTCAAATCCATCATTTTTAAATGACTTTTTCATTAATTTTAAGCTCTCAAAGTTTCTTCTCATCCAGAAATTCAGTATTCATTTAGATTTTTGTTCAAAAGAATATTCCATATTATTAGATAAATACACACACACACACACACACACACATTTTTTTCTTTGAGACAGGGTCTCACTATGTTGCCCAAGCTGACCTCAAACTTGAGTTCAGGGAGCTTTCTTCCATGGCCTCCCTGGTAGCTAGATAGCTAGGACTACAGGCATGTGCTCTTTATTGGCTATGTAAATTTTAGTTTGAACTCCAGAGTAATTTTTTTAACATACAAAAGCAAAAAATATCTACTAGAACTTTCTATTGGAATTGCATTAACTCCTTATTCTTGTAAGTTTATTTCTAGTTAAAAAAATTACCATTCTGTATTGTTATTGAGATTACTATCTCTAGTTCTTTGTTCTCCACTTCCTTGCCACTTACCAATAAATGAAATTGTAACTGGTTATTAGGAGAAATACTGCTGATTTTCAGAAGAAATACTTCAAAAGAAAACTGGTTATCAAGAGAAATACTTCAGGGCTGGGTATTTAGCTCAGTGGTGCTGCCACCTGCCTCACAAGTGCAAGGTCCTGAGTTCGATCCCCAGTACCAAAAAAAAAAAACAAACCAGAGAAATACTTCAATTTTTATGAAGTATTCTTGGCTTCCAAAGTTTCTAAAACTTTGTTAATTTTTCATGAGTATTTTTGATGAAAATGGTTGGGGAGAATAAATCAAACAGAAGATGTGAGTTTTCATCTAAACCTAGAAATTCCGCAACAGTTATTTATTCTCCATTTTTTTTTAGTGTTACGGATTATTAAATAAGTAGGTATTCAACTCACTGAGAAGTGGTGTGTGTGTGTGTGCGCGCGCACACACACACACAAAGAATTTACAAGTGAGTATAAAGCTTATTTCCTGCTTTCATGTTTCAGAGATACTGTTTCAGTGCCACTAATGAAAAATACTATTATTTCCCTGCTTTTTAGGTTGGAATGTTGCATCAGCAGATAGAAGAACATGAAAAAGTCAAGCAAGAGATGGCCATGGAGTATAAGCAGGAGTTAAAGAAATTGCAGGAGGAAGTAAGACTTTTTTTCTGTTATATATTATGTAGTTTATCTCTCTAACTTTTGAGAATTTTGTTATGAAAATAAGTCTCTACCTTGTCTCTACTCTAAAGTAGAAGTACTGTACCTATACGTGTTATGAACAGAGACAGATCTATTTCTTTGTTCTTGAATCTAAGCATAGCATCTTGCTTAAGTACATGTTTGATATTACCTAGGACAGGGATTCTAAAATATGTTTCTTGGTTGAGTAGCTGAAATAAATAGACCTGTTTTTATATAATACTGTGAAATATTGATGCCAAAAATTAATATTTAATTTTTTGAGTTAAATCGGTTACTAGATTTTTAAATAATGGAGGATCCAAAGGTTTAAATAGCATTTGGGGTTAAAGAGAAAGCTCAATTTTATTCACATTTGGGAAACACTGCTTTTATTAAGTTCAATTCCAAAACATTCCTCTCTTGCTTGCTGAATATGTGAGCCCCATAGGAGCATGACCTGGGAACCATAGGCCTAGAAGAAAGACTTATTTGTTCCTTTTATTGTGGAGGTGTGTGGTAGGGTCTTGAAGTACAAAGTTATTATACTAAAAGTTAAAGTTTTGTTTTAAAGTCACTGTTTCATTTTATTTTTCTTTGAATATAATTCTTCGCCAGCATTTCTTTTCCATATGTAATTTTTAGTTTTGTATTTTAGCTTGAGAACTACTAGTTTGAGAATAATACCAGTTGGCACTGTACTTGCTTTCATATTATCAATTTGTTTACTAATTCTTACACTTTAAGTAAATAAAGCACTGTCTCCACAGTTAGGTAGACTGAAGAGAAGCTATGAAAAACTGCAGAAAAAGCAAATACGGGAATTCAGAGGAAGTACCAAAAATCACAAGGAGGATCAGTCTGAGATTGAGAGGTTAAATGGAAAAGTAGAGGTATGTTCACAGTAATAATCACAGTAGTGATTGTCAGCCTTCATGTAAGAAAATGCTATTTCTAATGGTGCTGTTTCCTGAAACCAATTTTATGTCATCTCCAGGACTGCCACTGAGATGTGTTAGTGGTGGGAGAGTGTTCCACCTTTCATCCTATCATCACCCCTTTCCCCATGGTTAATGGGAACTAGCTATCAGTAATTTTCAACAGGGCAGCAGCACCCTTACAGGGCATTTGGAAATGTATGGAGACTGTTTGTTTTGGTTGTCAGAATAATGGAGCATGGAAATTTTTTTTTCTGGTACCGGGGATCGAACTTTGGACCTTGTGCTTGCGAGGCAGGTGGCAGAACCACTGAGCTCAATCCCTGGCCCATGAAAATGTTTTTTAAGACATTCCAGGGTTTGAGCTCAGTGGTTCTGGCATCTGCCTCGCAAGTGCAAAGTCCCAAGTTCGATCCCCGCTACCAAAAAAAAAAAAAGAAAAACAAATGTTTTTTAAGGACAGAAATCAGGTTGTAAACATGGCTAGGATTATATGCTAGAAAGGATTATTATCTGCAGCATCTCTAATATTGAGAAATATGGACCACCAGGTACCACCTGTGTTTTATGAGGAGTGTCTTTGTCTTATTTATTGGGACTTAGTAAATGTTGAAAGTATGTGGCTTTTTTTTTGTATCCATTCAGGTAGAACAAGCTAAGTTTTTTTAATTTTCATTTTTATTAGCACATGTTTGCAGTACATAATTATGTTCGTTGTGGGGACTTAGTACATATATATAACACATCTTAATTCTTTTTACATCCCTTCCCTTCTCCTTCCTTCTAGTAATCCCCTTCCTATTTGCAAAAGAGCTAATTCCTTGTTTCCTACTAGCTGTCTTTGATTTTGTGCTTTATTTATACTTTAGATTTTTCAGATAAGAGAAATCATGTGATATTTACCTTCTGTGTCTGATTTATTTCATTTAGCATTATAGTCTCAAGTTGCAACCGATTTCCTCCATTGTGTATATATACCACATTTTCTTCATCCACCTGTTGGTGGGCATATAGGACAATTCCAAGATTTAGCTGTTGTGAGTTGTGCTGCTATAAAAATGGGTATGCATGTATCACTGTAATATGTCTTTAAATCTTTCAGGAAGATCCCTAGACAGGGAATAGTTGGGTCAAATGGAATTTCTAGTTTTAGTTTTTTGAAGAATCTCCACACTGAATTTTCATAGTAGTTGTACTAGTTTACATTTCTACCAACAATGTAGAAAGGTTCCTTTTCTTCCACAGACTGGCCAGTACTTGTTATTATTTAATTTCTCAATGATAGCCATTCTTTCTGGTGTAAGATGGAACAAGCTAAGTTAGAAAGTGGATTCACCTCTCTCTTGACTGGTCTTGTTTTTACTGAGTGACTGGTTATTGGATATGTTGGTTTCCTAGAGGACTTAAAGGGAGGTGGTAAGTCAGCACTGCCAAGAGTAGATGAAGGAACAGCATAAAGCTGTCACTCTTTGAACCTTGAATCCATCACTATGCTTCTCTGTATTCCCCATTAGTTCTTAAGTGTATATAAAGAATTACCTAGGAAGCCTTTAGACTCTGAGAGATTCTGGTCCAGTATAGTATGGTACGGGACCTAGAAATCTGCATTTTATCCACTCTCCTAGCTAATTTTAATTTGAGAAGCATTCTTTAACATCTTTGTGTGGCTACTTAAAATTTTTCTACTCTGAGATACCTATCACCCACAAATGCTAATATTACCTAGAATTATACCTAGAATTCTAGATAATACTACCTAGATTTATAATTTCTATTTTTAGTATTGTTTTTCATCTCAATATTTTTATACATTTGAAGAACTTATAATGAGAGGACTACAGATACTGCTTCCCCTCCAGCCCTTTTCATTGATCCTTTTTTCCCTGCGAACCCCTTATATCCATCTTGCTCCTCATTACCACTTCTGTTTATCTTTCTTTTTTTTTGGAACTGGGAATTAAACTCAGGGACTCGAGCTTGCCAGGCAGACTGTGCCACTGAGCTACACTCCTGGCCCTCATTGCCACTTCTGGACCCTTCTCTTTTCTTTCATCCTCAAAAACCCCATCTGTAGTTTTCACATAGTCAGCCTATGTACCTACAACCAAAGTCATCATCTCCTGGTCCTTGGGTTACTTCCCTGGCTCCTAGATTTCAACTCTCAGCTCATTGTTCTTTCCCATGTTACTTTTCTCATAACTCTTGAGGATTTCAGTATCCATAGGAATGAGGCTTATATTACTCTGGGCTTTGGGTTTCTTGGCATCCTTCTTCCATACATATTTTGATTTCTTCTCTGTCTTATCTACTTATTCCTATTTCTATTCCTTTTGTATTATCTTTAGCAGTATGTTTTGTTTTGTTTTTTTTTGGTACCGGGGATCGAACTCAAGTCTTTGCACTTGTGCAGCAGGCAGTGAAACCACTGAGCTAAATCCCCAGCCCATCTTTAGCAGTATTTGCAAGCCCTCTAAAATCTCATTTTCAAGTATCTAACTATTTGAATACCATCCCCATCTGTTAGCTTCCATGTAGGGCTTTGATTCTCAGTAATCATTAACCATCCCTTTAAAATCGTTAAATTCTGGTACCTTTTCACTGCTCCATATCTACTTTGTGTTCTCACTTACCAGTCCATACCCAGCTCAGATTCCAGGGTCACATTCCTTATATTCCCCTCATCTCCTTTGCTCCTCTCTTTCTTCATTGTATTTGCTTAGCAAAACCACAACTCTAGTTAGTTCACCTTCCTGCCCACTGTCTACCTGCCATGTGTGGCTGAACATAACTATGCTGGCTGGCCTCATTTTAAATTCATGGTCATTAACCTCAGATGGGTTCTTTTGCTACCCAGAATCCTACTATATTGCCTCTCACTTGTCCCCTTTCCACAATGACTCTTTCACATCCTCTTTTCTCCTCAAACTTTCAACATTTGTCATCTTCAGATGAAATATTCTTTTCTCTTCAGAATTCCGACATTGTGTCTACTTACCTGTCTGTAACTATGCCCATATGTCCTGCCTTCCCTTCCCTCCTTTACCCAAACTTTCTCCAGCAATTCCCCTTCTCTTTTTTGCATGCTCAGTTTTTCCCTGTCCATTGGATATTTTCTACAAGCATCCATATTTCTTTCCTCTTATCTTCTCTTGCCTCCTCTTTCTCTCTTTTCCTTCATCTTCCTCCCTCACTTTATGCTAAAATACTTTAGGCATATGCCTATATTCATCTTTAATTTCTTTTGTCTTTTTTTTTTTTTAATCCACAGAATAAGGCTTCTGACCCTTCACATTACAGAAGCTATCTGCATATTGGTTACCAATGACCTCTGCATTCCTAAAGCCAGTAGCTGGTTCTCATCTTTTTCCTGCTATCTGGAGCTTTGGATCCAGCTGTTCTCTTTCCTTAAAAGACTTTCTTGACTTGACTTTGAGGAAAAGTGCATTTTCCTCATTCTTCTATCTTATTAGCCATTCTTTCTCAATTTCCCTTGCTTCCTTTTAGAATTTAGATCCTTCTTCATATATATGGCTGTGATCTCTTTTCTGTTTCAGAGTAACATTCAACTGTCTATTTCACATCTCCACTACAGTGGACAATCTAAAACTAAATCTTAACATGTCCAAAATAAACGACTTTACTTTCTCTTCCCCACTTCCCAACACCAAGTTCCAGTTTCAGGTGATGGCATTTCCTTTCCTGCTCAAGCCTAAAACCTTTAGTGTCAGGCTGGACCTCTCTTTTCTCAGCACAGCAACTAGGGTGATTGATTCTGTTGTAATGCAAGTCAAATAAGCTACCTTCCAGTAGCTGTTCTTAAAGCCAGAATTATACTGAAGCTCTACGTAGTCTCACTCTCTGTTAACTTTCCTACTTTGGTTCCTTCTGCTTTCCCTTTCAGTCACTCCATTCCAGTCATCCCAGCTTCCTTGCTTATCTTTAAACACACCAGTATATTCCAACTTCAAGGTTGTTCCCTGTCACTGCTGCAATAATACAGCTCCATCCCTATCTCCCTTGGTGTTTACTTAGTAAATGTTATTTGCTCAGTCTAGCTGTCCCTTTTAAAATTTGCAACTCTCCACTGTGCACATTCCATGTTCTATTATCTTTAAAACATGTATTACCATTTAACATACTATGCAATGAATGTGTTGTATATTGCCCTCCAATTGAGTGGGCCTAGAGTTTTTGTTTGTTTTGTTAAATATTGTTATCCTCAGCACCTAAATTAATATTGGCAGGTATAATAGAATGAAGGAATGGTGAGTGATATCAGAAATCTGGTTATCCGCAGTTACAAGGAGAATCAGATATCTTGAGTTGAAGGTCCTAGAGGACAGTGATAGAAAGATTAGGTTTCTTTGCCCTTTGTTTTGTCCCTTTTTCATAAATACTGAGTTCATTTTCTTGGTATGCAATTTGAAGTTGCTGTTGATCCATGCTGTTGAACTGTTTGGCTTTGGGTTACAAATACCTGTTAAAATGTATCACATACTTCTCTTTAAGGTCTTTGCAGTTATGTTGAGGTTGTAAAAATGTGACTATCAAAGCATATTGTGTTGTCTGCATCTATAGTACTTGCTTCCTGGGTTTTAGATATTGAAAAGTAAGAATTGGGCTACCAACTTACCTGAAAATTGATTTGAATCTGTTCAGTTCTTGGGTGTAGATATCAAGAATTTGGATTGCAAGGGGTATGTGTAATTATATTTTGAATTTTAATTATTTTAGCATCAGTTTTCTGAAAAGTCACTTGAAAATATAGCAACCCTTAGGTGGCAGCAAATCTGTGAAGATAGTCATGAACCCAGTGCTTAGCATCTGCACCATTAGGGTGTAAATATAGAAAGACAGATACCCAGGGGCACAATATAAGTGGAACTCAGTGTTACTGTGCAGTCTGTCAGCTAAGTGAGGAATGGGGCTCCTGCTGTGGAGAAAGGTGTGAGTGTGCCAGGGAAGTGGGGAAAATTAAAGCAAAAGTGAGGCTGGGAAGTAGTGACAGTGAGGGGAAGCACTTAGAAGTTAAGTAACTTAATTGCCTCCTCAGGAATTTCGTCAGAAATCACTGGACTGGGAGAAGCAGCGCTTGATTTATCAGCAACAGGTATCTTCTCTGGAGGCACAAAGGAAGGCTCTGGCTGAACAGTCAGAGATAATTCAGGTAGGGTTGTGACAGTTTAACATTGTGATTAAATCTGACTACTATAATGCAGCTGTGGGTTGTCATTCTATCATTCTCAGCTTCTCTCTGCTAACCCTGCTCTTTTTCTCGTACAGGGAGCTCATCCTGCTCTGCTTATGGGTTTATCCTCCTCAGCAACTGGACATACGCACGTGTCTTCATCCCCTCTTCCTTGGTTCTCCTGCCTACTTGCCTTTCTTCTTTCTTTCACACATTCATTCTCCCAATCTTGATCTCTTGCCTTCTTTTCCTCCCTTTTCACTTTCTGTCCTTGTTCTCTCTGTCTTCTTTTGCATCTTACTCTCTCTCTTTCTGAGATTGGATTTTTTTTGGCTCTCCTTTCTATGCCTTGCTCCATTTCTAGGATGGCTGGAGGATGTTGGCTGAATGGGTCTGGTTGTTAGGACACGATGCTGAGTCACATTGCAAAGTGTGCACCCTGACTAAAAGTGGGATCTTTTTTTTTTTGGTACCAGAGATCAAACTCGGATCCTTGTGCTTACCCAGAAGGCAGAGAAACCACTGAGCTAAATCCCTGGCCCTAAAAGTGGGGTCTTTGAGGCTGTGGAAACACCATTTTTAGAAGTGGTAGAAACTTTTGTGAAGAATTAATGGCTTAAACAAACACAAAATAGATACCTAATTTAGGAATAGCTTCTTAGGACACATTCATGTCCTTTCATTTTTCAGTTAAAATCAAGAACATAAAGAAAATTGAATAGAGAGAGAAATGAATATTTGTGATATTTGTCTGTTATACCTTAGATACTACCTCAGTGCTTCTTTTAGATGCAGTTTGTACATGTTATTTGTTTAATATCATAATTCAGCAAGGCTAATAGTAAGCTTATAGCTAATAAGAGAACAGACTAAATAAATGAAGAGAGGTAGACAAAGTTTTTGTTTTTATTTTTTTAAACTGCATTTATTTGCTGTCTTGATTCTTAATAATGTGTTGGCTTTTTATTTGTCCCCCTGAAATATCAGTTGTCTGGTAAATTGGTAAACTACCTAGAATAGCTCTGCTGTGAATGCTCCACTTAGAATGGCAGAAAGGGCCCACAACCTCAAGAAAAAAATATTTTCTAGGTTGTAGAAAGCTTCACAATCAGAGCGGGAAAATGAAATCTTAAGATTTCTAGATCAAATTTGTTTTTTTTTTTTTTTTTTTTTTTTGGTACCGAGGATCGAACTCAGGACCTTGCACTTGCGAGGCAGGCAGTGGAACCACTGAGCTAAATCCCCAGCCCTAGATCAATATTTTTTGACCTAAATACTAAAAGCACTATGTAAACTTACCATTGTGATTATCAGCTGTGTAATTAAAGCTTCACTGTTAGGAAAGATGGGACAGCTAGAATTAGAATATGAAGCCTTTAAAGAGCCAACGTCTGGTTTTCATACTAAGGATATTTGAATTAGTCTTCTGGGATTTTTTTTAAAAATAAAACTATCTGATTGTCTAACAAAAACAAAAAAGTTACTTATAAATGTACTATATTTCTCTTTTTCCCTTGGCAAACTACAAAATTAAATCATTCTGTGACTATGAACCAAAGCTATCGATGCATCATTTTTTGTAAACATTTTAAAAACTTTTGTATACCCATTACCTAGCATTAATAGTTATCATCTTGCTAATCTTTCTTATTTATTGTGGTAAAGGCATATAAAGATTTGCCACCTAAACTATGTTTAAGTGTATCCTGCACAGACATTAGTGTTAACTCTGTGTAATTGTTGCACAACAGATCTCTATAACTTTTTCATCTTGCAGAACTGAAACTCTGCTCTATTCCATGTTTTCTATTTTTGGCTGGAATATTCAGAGCACATCACAGACATTTTATTTCCCAACACAAATTAGGTCTAAAAAAACCCCAACTGTTGTACTAGTATTACAAAACAGTATAAATAATAATTTGTTAATATAATTTAATATCTAGTTTGTTCACATTTCTCCAGTTGTCTAAAAATTGTCTTTTTTGAGTCAGAATCCAGTTAAGGTTGAGTCATTGCATTTGCCTGATACATGGGATACCACTGGAAAAATCAGTAGAAAACCTGGGAGACTGAGTGGATAGAAAACAACCTAACACCTCTCCCATCAAAAAATTTCTTGGTATGAATAATTTTTCTTGAATTTTTTAACATCCAAAGGTGGAACTTAGAAATTCTCACTCATTGATTCATGTATTTACTTGAGTTTACTTACGTGGTAAAATAACATAATACATGTTTATTTTAGATAAATGAGAAAATATGGGTAAAATGAGATAAATAAAATTATCCATAATTTCATTCTTTAGAAATTTATTGTGATTAACATTTTGGTGCATATTTCTTCTGATTTTTTTTCTGTGCTTATATACAATGCACATTACTTCATGTACATTTAGTAGAATTAAATTGTATATACTGTGTATGGGAAGGGAGAAGTAGATGTAAACTTTTAAAAATATCAAGAATACCAAAATGTTGATATTTTTAAAAGCTGAGTGGTGAAGAGGTTCATCATCTTATTCTCTCTGTATCTGTATATGTTTGAAATTTTCCATGAAACACAATTCAAAAATATATCGAGTACTTACTGTGTGACAGGCACTATGCTAAATACTTCATAATACAGTATTTTTAATTTTTGCAGCTTTAAAATTTTTCCTGTTTAAATATGACATGTCAACATGTCAACAAATGTGTAGCTGTAATGATTGTATATGTGTACTCTGGTATTAAATTTATAATAACTTGTATAACCAATCCCTTGTTGTAGAATATTTGGTTTTTTACTTCTCATTCTTAAAATAGTTCTTGGATGAACATCTTTATATTTGTCCATTTATTTATATATATATATTTTTTTTTTTGGTACCAGGGATCGAACTCGGGACCTTGTGCTTGTGAGGCAGGCACCAGAACCACTGAGCTAAATCACCAGCCCTGTCCATTTATATTTTTAACCAATGTCTCTAAAAGTGAAATTGCTGCATGAGAGTAATTGTACAGTCTTTAAAGATTTTAAAATATATTGCCAAAATGTCCTCTAAACATGAGCTGATAAAGACTTTCTCTAGTAATTTATGAAAATATTCATTTCTTTACTTTTTGCCAACAGTGGGCACTATTATTTCTTTAGACTTATCCCACATTTAGGCTTGTCTTTGCCAGCCTTAAAAGTGAAAAAATGTAGTATCTTTTAACTTGCAGTTCGTTAATTATGAGTGAGGTTGAGCATTTTTCATGTTTTTAGCTACTATAAGCCCTGTGCTGTTATGTTGTAGTTAGGTGTTTTACCCAATTTATGTTTATTATGCCAAGTAGTTTTTATAGAAATACAGTTGTTTTGTAAATAATTATCTAAAATTGCTTATATCCATCAATTTTTTTCTTTAGGTATCTATCTTTTATGTTATACTATAAAGTCTTGGCTTACCTAGGCCTAGATTTCTTGTAATGCTTTCTAATTTTTAAAAATATATGTTTAAAAGGGGATTTAGAGGAGGAGCAGGGAGGCAGAGGGAAAGAGAAGGGGATTTAAAAAAAAGAACTATATTGTATTATGTACATGTTACTACACCCCAAGATGATTGTAAAGTGCATGTACTGCAAACACACTAATAAACATTTTTAAATGTTTAAAAATATGTTATATAATACTTATTGTGGTATTAGGTGTTTGGTAGCAATATAAATTTGTTCTTCAAATGATTATCCACATAATTGATTGACTGTTCCATTTTGAGGATTTGGCAAGAATGGTTCTAAAATTCATGTAGAATGATAAATGGCATTAGGGTGGCAGTTAAAGTGTGAGACAGTAGGGAAAGGGTTGAAGATTGGTGTTGAATTCAAATTATTTTCTGGCTTTGTGCTTCAAGGAATTGACTTCTCCAGAGAATGAGATTGCTGAGGGCAGTATGATAGGGAGCAACAAGGGCTTTGTTTTCCAAGGGATCCTGGTATGAAGGCCGGCCTCTGAGCACTGCTGCTCTGTATCTGTAAACCTGTAATGTGGCTTTTCTTCAGTCTCTCTGATGTGCATTGCCTTCTTGATGGTTTACTTTTTCTGTGATTTGTGTTTTTTAAATAACTCTGTCTACTTAAATAGAATAGTTAGAATGCTGAATGTTAGATTATCAAGTTCTGGTTAAAAAAAATTAGTGGCAGTGCTTAATGCAAAAAAAGATTTAAAAATATATTAATCTTAAAATAACTCTAATGCCTGATACTTAAGAAAAATAATCATTCTTTTGTAAGTGGATTATAGTATTATTTCTGACTTTCTTAATATTGGAAGAGGTATTCTTGAGACAAGTGTAGTGTTAATGAAATGTAATTTAAAATTTTCTAGAAATCACATTAAAAAGTAAAAAGAAAAAGGTGAAATTAATTTCAATAATATATTTTATTTAACCCAGATGTAAAACATATTACAATATTTACTTACATTTTTTTAAAACTGAGTCTTTGAAATGCACCACATATTTTAAGACTTAGATTACATCTCAATTCAGACCAGCCACAGTTCAGGTGTTTGGTAGCCCCATGTGGCAGTGACTGTCGTATTGGACATTGCAGGCTTAATTCTAGTTAATGAAAATTTAAAATTTGTATTTAAGATGATTACATACTAAAAACACTTTTTGTATGACTGATATGTTAAAGGCTATGTTTATTCTTCAAAACTGGAAGTTGGTTAATTTTTAAGTAGCAAATCTAGACTAGCTGTACTATAGCTTAATTAAATTATAGCTATAACTTCAACATACTTACTCCCACATCACCAGTTTGAGTTGAATAGTGTTGTATAGCTATTGTAGCGTTGTTTTTCCAGTTGTGTTGCTTTCATCCTGAGTGCCAGTTGTACAGTGGTTTTCTAGCTGTGTTTGCCAAACCCCAGGGCTGATGGATAGGTTAAGGTAGGGTTTAGCAAACTAGATTCCAGCTTCCTTTTCTGTCCCCTCCTCACTCACTCTTTGCATTTATTCATTCTGCATAGGCTTCTGTGTAAGATTTCCTTTTAGAAAAAAATTTATATTATAGTTAAAAGTTTGGAAACAAGCGCATGCTTAGCAGTTATTCTAATGAATCTAAACCTATGTTGACTCTTCTTTGACAGTACTGTAAGAATCTAGTAAAAAAATGTTTTGCCTCTTTACACTGGAATATTGATCTGAAATTTATATAAACATTATCTGTCTACATCTCAGCCTCTGTCCTCCTAAACTTTCTCTGACTTATAGACATTTTTAAGCATCTACTTTTTGTCCCCATACCATATATAATAAAATCTTTAGATCTGTAGCAGATTTCTCAGAGATATTTCCACTTTTATTTCTAAAATAAAACTTTCTTTACTTTTAGAAATATTTAAAATACCTCTTAATGTCAGATATTTAAGAGATGTAATCAAAATAAGGAAAGTTTACCTCAACAGATGATTTATGTTCATCTGCAGTGCGATGAAGAACCAGTCTGGATGAAATTAAAACTTGTGAAAACTAAGCTGGGTGTGCTGGTGCACACCTGTAATCCTAGCACTCACAAGCCAAAATTTGAGGCCAGCCTGGGCTAAATAATGAGTTCAAGGCCAGTCTGGACTAGTGATGATAGAGGAGATGAAATATGAAAATATCATGTCTTCCAACCTGTTAGATGTCTGATAGGCCAAGATCATGTTCTCTAAAATCGAAGAGTGAATTCTAGGAATGATGAGGGTTAAGAGTAGGAAAATATTTATTGAGAGGATAGCTCCTGAGAGGCAGGAATGGACCCAAATGGGTAGCCGGGGTCCCCACTTCAAGGGAAGTTTTATAGAGCAAAACATACGTGGGTACAATGTGGGTTACAGCCATGATTAACTAATAAGGTTATGAGTATAGTCGCTTAGGTAATAGTGATCCAGTGGGAAACAAGTCACATAACAAGGGTGCACGGAAAAAACAAAAGACTATTTCTAAGAAATGATGGGTCCAGAGGCTGGGGTGACTGATATCTATCTTCATTAGGCCCAGTTTTTGTTATTTGAGGAAGTATGTAAGGTTGGCCAGTTTGTCTTTATCTTGAGGTCTGGTCTCCAACAGATGTGTCTCTGGCCACAGTTGTGATATGCTTTTTACCTTTGTCCTGACCCTATAGAGGACCTAGCCCTCTCTGCCTGCTTCTAATGTTTCTACCTAACTTAGATATCTATAATAGTGAGACCATGTCTCAAAAACAAAACGAAAACATGAAAAACAAAAAACTCAACTTCTGAAAACTAAAAAGTTAAGAGCCAAAACCAGTTTGGTTAGAATACAGATTCTGAAGATTAGGGTATTAAATACACTACAGGTCCATGAGACAGTTGCTGAAGTAGTATTATTGTATGTACCTCAGGAGATAATGTTACTGAAAGAAACTAATTTTAGATGTGCTGTATGTGGTTACAATTTTTTAGCTCAGAAAATGTCCACAGACTGATGATAGAACCTGTTCTCTCCTAAAAGCACATTTTTCCTCAAGCAATGAAATTCTATAATCCTTCCACCTTTCCATATTTAAATGGCATTTTGTGGTCAGTTTGCATAACCTGAATATGAGTGTTGGTAATGTATTGGAAAAGAATGTTAATACAGAAATACAGAATAACTACATGCAGTATACTGTAGATGGAGAGAAAATGGAAATTTGAGATACACATTTAAGAAGTTTGGTGATTTGCTATATTTTAATTTCTGGACTTATATTAGAATAATGCTTTATATCTCCCATTTCCTACATGATAAGTAGGTAGAATAATGGACCTGTGTTTTCAGTAGGTGAGCAGCATCTCTTCTCTGAAGAGAATTGCTTTCTCAATTCATTCTTACCCTTTCTTAAGATACTTATTTTTTAGTAAGCTGATGCTCTATGTTTTTACAGAAGTTAAACTCAAGTCTTCCTTATTCGTTTATCATTCTTTTTTTTTTTTATCATTCTTTTATTATTTCCCTTTTTATTGTTAACCTATGTGTTTCTAGGCTCAGCTCACCAATAGGAAACAGAAATTAGACTCTGTGGAGTTGTCCAGTCAGTCAGAAATCCAGCACCTGAGCAGTAAGCTTGAGCGGGCCAAGGACACCATCTGTGCCAATGAGTTGGAAATAGAGCGTCTTAACATGAGGGTTAATGACTTGATTGGAACCAATATGACTATTCTGCATGAGCAACGGCAAAAAGAGGAAAAACTGAGAGAATCTGAAAAACTGTTGGAGGTATGTTTTAAAATTACTGAAATTGGAGAAATGTGTGTTTTAAGAGACAATACTTAACCTAGAACTAGGTTCCAAAAATCTATGGTTTCTTCCCTACTCTGTAGCTGATAGCTCAGCTATTGACAGCTGTATTAATATTGTGCTTGTCATATAACTTACAGTTTGAGTCCCTGGCTTCCTTTTCTCATGAGATAGAAAAATTGTAATACTCTGACTTTTTTTCAGAGTATTTTGTAGGCGCTGCTGAAAGAAAACTAAAGGAAAATTATAGTACTATCTGACATTTTTCTGAGTGTTTTTCAGACTCTGCAGGAAGAAAAGAGAGAATTGAAGGCAAATCTTCAGTATCATGAAAATTTCATGCATGAGGAAAAAAAAATGCAAAAGAAGTTACAAGCAAAAGGAAACAACACCCAACACCTAGTAGACTCCATAAGGTGTATTTAATCTTAAATATTATTCATCTTACCCACTTGGTGGTTCAGCATTAAGTAGCAGGGCTTTTTTTGGTTTTTTTGGTACCGGGGATCAAACTTGGGTCCTTGCGCTTGCAAGGCAGGCGGAGGAACCACTGAGCTAAATCCCTGGCCCTAGTAGCAGTTTTAATATTGCATATATACAATTTTGTGTTTGATTCTACTCTGGGTTTTCTTACTCTGTTTTAACTTGTGAGTCAGATTTCTATATGTTAAAAAGTTTTGTGTGCCTAGTTTTTTTCCCCTTTATTTCCTAAAAAAGATTTTGATATTTAGAAAGTTAGGAACTGCTTAGATTTCCCTCTTGGTAAAACTATAGATGTGAAGTGAATTATGTCCATAACTCCTGAAAATCCTCTTTTCCTTGATAGAGTAAGTCATGGTTAGTATCGCTTATCATCACCAACAGCCATCCATTGAGCTAGCACTTTTTTTTTTTTTTTTTTTTTTTGGTACTGGGTATTGAACTCAAGACCTTGCGCTTGCAAGGCAGGCATGGTGAGCTAGCACTTTTGAAAACATTCCTAAGGCTGGGGATTTAGCTCAGTGGTTCCACTGCCTACCTTGCAAGCGCAAGATCCCAAGTTCGATACCCGGTACCAAAAAAAAAAATTCCTAAAACTAATTTTTATGTATCAGTTATTGCAATGAGAGGTTTGCAGTGGAAAATAACAATTTGAGTTATCCTCCTTTTATTTGACTTATATCTGATGCACTTTTAATCTTGCCAGAGCTCTCTTAAAACTTCAGTTTCTTTGGTGCAAGGTATTGTCAACAAAATGATTTCCCTTTTCCCTTGCAAAGCATGCCAAATTCCAGTTAAGAAAGCAGTAAATTGCTGCTGACTTATTTGGGAAGAGTCTTGACTCCTAGTTCTTGCCATAAAGCAGGAGAGAAAGTGGAGTACCACAGAGCGTACTCACCCTAAACAGTTGGGATGGGAAAAGAGTGCCTATTCATTGTTTCTATTTGCAAAATAAGTGGCCTGTAGCATTCATCTTGTGTCCTTTTATAGACCACTGGAGGACTCTCAGGCTGAAAGGAGGATCACCTTTCAAGGGCAAGGGGACTTAGGCAGTGTGCTCTCCCAGTTGGATTTTACCCACACAAGTGAAGAACTCTTGCAAGCAGAGGTGACTCGTCTAGAAGGCAGGTAGATAATTATATACACAGTTCAAAAACCTCTAGTTATTCTTATGAATTTGTGGTCATCATATTGGTATAAAAAACTAATAGTCTTCTGAAAAATAATCTTTTTCTGACATATACAAATGATCTTACTTCATTGAGAAAACAAAAACAATTAAAAGAGAATTTCCTAATCTTTCTGCCACCAAATCTGCCAGTCTGCCTGCATCTGTGCCCATAAATTTGTTAGTGCAGATGATCTGATGGATGTGTGTCTGCTAAGACTTACCTATCCTGTGTGTCCTGTCCCTGCAGTTTTTTCCTTCATCTTCTACTTCACAAAGTTCTGCCTCTCTGCTGAATCATTTCCACTTATATAAAAATACTCATAATGTCTCCCATTTTGGAAAAAAAAATTAAAACTCTCCTTTAACCCCATATCCCCATCAAGCTACTTCTGCATTTCTCTGCCTTCCTTCAAAATCAAATTCTTCAAAAGAGTTGTCTGTACTGACCTTCTCTACTTCCCCTTTGTCCTGTTTAGAACCCCTTCATTTTGGCTTCCTTCTATCACCTTGCTGACGCTGTTCTTGGAGAGATCACAGTTGACACGTGATGCTCCTTCTTTCTGTTCTGCAGAATTGTTGAGATTTCCTTGGATGTTAATTGAATCCTGACCAGTGCCTTACTATAATCCAGCCAGCTCTTACCTTTGTCATACTTATAAACTTTTTTTTGTTTGTCATACTTCTATACTTTTTGACTGGAAAGTTTGATGTTTTGACACACATTAATCTTGATCATTTTTACACTAACTTTTTGCATGTAAAAGAGAAAAAGTACACAAACTATTAGCTTTTAGGCAAACAGAAAACAATAAAAAATTACCATTTTGTACTTTTTATTTTATTTTTCTTTTTGAGACAGGTCTTGCCATGTTGCCCAGATGGGTCTCAAACTTGTGAGCTCAGGTGATCCTCGCACTTCCCAAATAGCTGGGACTATAGGTGTGTGCTATCACACCTAGCTCATTTTACTCTTTTTTTTAGGTTGTCTTTGGAAGTGGGGCACTGGGGAATTGACCCAGGGCCTTTGCACTTAGCTACATCTCCAGCCTTTTCTTCATTTTTTTATTTTGAAACATGGTCTCATTAAGTCACTGAGTTGAGCAGGCTGGGCTCAAACTTTCAGTCCTCCTGCTTCAGCCTCCTAGAGTACTGGAATTAACAGGTGTGTGCCACTATGCCCGGCTAGATTATCTGTAAGTAATATTTTTGTTGTTGTTTTTAGTTTTATTTCTGTTTCTGGAAACCACTAAGTATTTTCTAAGTGTTTTCAGTACATATTAAGCATGCATGCCACACACTTTTTTTTATCCCTTTTAGAATACTTGGAATATTTAGTATATTCTTTGTTACAATTATTGAGGTATATATGAACACTCTAGGTAGAATAAATAAAGCTTATTTTTGATGTTAGAATTAAAATTTACATCTTATCATAGATGTTTTTATTGATTGGTTCTTCAGTAATCTTCAAATGCTCATATGTCTTACTGTTATGTCATGAGGCCCCAAAACGTTTTGTCTGGTTGCTGATTTTTAGCGTTACCTTGGACAACTGATCCTCTTTAGGCCATGATCTTATCATCTGTAGTTAGGAAAATATAGCTGTGATTTTTCTTCTCTCTCAATCTCAGTGTTTGGCACATTGTTGTCACATACTAAGTACTGAATAAATGAACAGTCTAGGATTTTTAGAACTAGGTAAAATTGGAATAAATGGATATAAACACCAGTGTTCAATAATAAAACAATAGCTTAAATATTTTTCTTTCAAAAAAGAGGTAGAAAAAGGAATTGCTTTAAACAGTTTGTTTGTGTTGTTTCGTTTGAACAAAATATTCCCTAAATAAGGAAGTAGGGGAATTTAATCAGTAGTTTTTGTGCTGTTTTATTTCCAAGATGATATTTTTGACAGATAGCTTATGTGGTAAGTTGGGTATGTTGGAGAAACAATCCAGGTGAGTAGTAAGCATTTAGGAAATAGTCTAGAGCCATGTGCTGTAGGGGCAGAGGGGATGAAGGTTAAGTTTGGTGGGAGATAAGAAAAGACATTATTTTAATCATAGAATTTGTACTTTGAGAGATAAAAATATACATGGTAAGGGAGCTGAGAGGAATTTAAACTAGCAAATTTAAAATAGAAAGTCCTAGACATTTTTTACATTTTAGCTATAAGAACTGAAAATAAATTGTGTTTAAGATGGTCAGGAAAGTGAGGGCTAGGTGGTTTCATTAGGTAAATTCTGATCTGATTCTTTAGGTCAGGTCTTGAGAGGGCGTTGACTATCAGTGTCAATTGGGCGGAGAATGTGAAGAGACAGTAAGGCAGGTGTAGCAAATGGCACATGGAAGACAGTAGAGACTATCAACTTAGGAGCAAAAAGATCATATTAGTAGAAATGGGCTGTGAGATAGGAGATTCAGTGCGTCTCTGGTTCTTTTGCCTAATGAGGGATTGGGTGTTGAATAAGGGTGATAAGTTGGAAACTCTTTAAATGTTGCTGTGTTTATAGGATGGAATTGTATAATCAGGTATAGCAAAGACTGAGATTATAATGGCAGCTCAATGATAATTTTCTTTAGTACAAGTAACAAGTAAAAATTAGATAAGTTGCTGTTATCTTTAGAATTTTGTAACCAGTGTAATTTTAAGCAGAAGAATATAGGTATACATTAAAGTCAAAAGTATTGCCAAAGGTTTGAGATAGATTTGGCTCCCTCTCATGATAAGAAAATTGGAAATGTGTTTTAATTTGGGATATGAAGAGGTGTTTAAGATATTAGTAGGCTGTATCTTGGATATCAAGAAGGTAAATTAGATAATCCAGTTTATGAGTTTTAGGGTTTTTATTTTATTTTAAATATGTTACTATATTTTTGTCATACAGTTTGGAATCTGTGAGTGCAACATGTAAACAACTGAGCCAAGAGCTAATGGAAAAATATGAAGAATTGAAGAAGATGGAAGGACATAACAATGAGTATAGGGCAGAAATTAAGACGGTAAAAATCTTCATGCATGTAACTCAGAGGACACCTGATATTCAGGAGAGGGAAAGCACATAGACTGTGCTTAGGGAAAGTGCCTGCTTTTTTAGTATCCTCAGGGATGCCATATAATTATTTTCAAGATAATTGAAGCCTGCCTACTTTGAACTCTGAAGCTATTTTAAACAGGTCTTGCCAAAAAGGATTCCAAACCATTTTTTTTTACAGAAATATATGAGCTGTCATTTAATATTTTCTTATTGGCTAAACATGGATATAAAAATATACTTTCTTGTGTGCTATGATGTGGTTAATGTCCTCAGTGCCAACTGAGTTATGCAGAATTATTTACCCTTACATTAACAGGCCCTAGGTGTCCTATCTGTTGACTTGTATTACTTCTTTGAGATTACTTCATTTTTACTTTGAGATTACACTTTCTTTCTCTTGTCTTTCTTTTCCTTTACCTCCCCCTCCCTTTCTCTTCCTTTTGTCCTTCCCCTTTCCCTTCTTTTCCTTTTCCCTGTCCTGTCCTGACCTGTCCTCATTTTTGTGGTGCTGGGGATTTAACCTAGGCCTTCATGCATGCTAGGCAGGTCCCCACAATAGAGCTACAGCCCAGCACTTTCCTCTTGTCTATTTATTATTTATTGTATTCTGTGGACCAGAAAACCATATAAGCAAAATTTTTAGATTTGCAGCTAAAAAAAGGAAGGTCACAGTTGCTGCACTCTAATGTGTGTGTGGACTTTGAAATTGATCTTCAGTGTTTGAATAGTTTACCTCTTCTCTTTTGAGATCTAATAAATGATTATGAGTATAAAAACTTGCTTCAACATAGGTATGCAACTTGCTAAATTGCTAGTTTTCTGCAGATTTAATCTAGGAAGAATTTCATGTCTTAAGCTAAGGTAAACATTATTTTATTAACTATTAATATATTTTTGTATGTAAATACTTCTTCTTTGATGTTTTCCTATTTCCTCGTTGTAGTTGAAAGAACAGATTTTACAAGCTGAACAGACTTACAGCTCTGCATTAGAAGGTATGAAGATGGAAATCTCCCACCTGACTCGGGAGTTACATCAGCGAGATAGCACTATTGCTTCTGCCAAATGTTCTTCCTCAGACATGGAAAAGCAACTCAAAGCAGAGATGCAAAAGGCAGAAGAAAAAGCAGTGGAGCATAAGGTGAAGCCTTAACAAAAATTTTATTTGATGCGTGTTTTTGAAGATTGAATTTAGTAAAGATAGAATTTCTGTAATGTTTAGTTCAGTAAATTTTCATTAGACACCTGCTTTCGGCTGAGGGCTTGACACTTAGCAAGCAGTCTAACCAGGCTTGGTGGGGAAATGAGATGGATACAGACAAATGGAGCGGCTCTCACTGTGTGTGTGTGTGTGTGTGTGTGTGTGTGTGTGTGTGTGTGTGTGTG